GATTTGAAATGGTCTGCTTGCTTACTTGTCATTATGAGTTATCATCGCTACGAGGAACGGAGTGCTTCAACAAACCAGGTTTTCAGTCCTCCCAACTACCAAAAGATAGCATCAAGTGTGTGCTCCGCATTAACCGCATGTTGTACTTGTGGGTCTTGCTCCAACTCTGCTATGCAACCTTCATATAATGCTTGCATCCTTTCTCTAGTTTTGAAACCTGCGACACGAAATGAATACTTTACGCTTTAGCAACCGGACTCACAAAATAGCACCACCACCGAACTCTTTGATAAAAGTTGGAACTCCAAGTTTCTGTGAATTAATGATGCCCAATGAGCTTCAGAAAAACCACTTCCTAACATAACATTCCACTTCAGCAGTGGTTACATTTAATACTTACGAGCCATGCACCTTTTGTATGCATCAGTGTACGGCACACACCATAGGGCTCAATCTGTTCGCATACAATAGCAGGTGGGCGGGGAACAATGAAAGAATGAAATACTGTGACTCTTTTAATTCTCATGTGAAAGATATTCACAAGAAGCTTGTCGAGCGCACTCGTAGCGCTTCAGAGCTGCTTCCACCGCCTTCTTACGGGCTTCCAGAGACTAAAAATAGTAAAAAGATCTTTTTGGTGCTCGAGTTTTTTTACTTAGCTAACATAAGTAGCATTTTTACAGCAAGCCTAGCAGTTATTTTGTTGAGTCTGGGCAGCCGCACTGCCTGCTTACTTCCAATCCTCGCACAAAGGTGAGGTTATCTTATAAGTCAAGAAATCGAAACCACAAAGGTACGTAATGCGCTAGGAACGTCAAATCACCAGCGTAAATACAACACAAAGAAATGTAGTGAGGTTGCTGAAAATAGGCAAAAGAATCATCAATTGGAAACAACTTAACCATATTCATTTATCGTGCAAATAAAAAAAACCCACTGACAGTACCAATGAATTTACGCAAGCGTTTGGGCGATCACTAAGGGTGGATAATTCGAATGGCCTTGCTATTGGTGGTTTCTAACTCATTTAGCAGTCATTTTTCCACAAAATTTCGGATTTAAATATAAAGCTGAAGCTGATATGAATTCGTTATGAAAATGGAAAAGCTGATCTACAAATTAGTCTCAACGAAAGAAAGTAAGATGCTGGTAGGATAAATGGTGGAATGCAGGTGTTTCAAATTTATTGTAATAGGTCTTTGAGGATAATGATAAAGCGTCAATAGTCAAAGCTAATCAAAATGGTAAAATGGTATAGACCAATGAAGACGTCAAAATGGAAAGTCGAAACTAAATGTATAGAAAATTTACTGACTGTGTAAAAATCCAGAACAGCATTAAAAACTAGAGGCCATTTTAATTTATGACTTGGACGAATTCGCGATGTTAGCCCACTAAATACGCACATTAAATCCGCCAATAATTACACTATATTAAAATCCTTTTAATATGCCATTTTATATTTATAAGATAAACTTTAAAAAAGGAAACGGCCTCACTGCTTCTGTCCCATTTTCCTGTCTATTCTCCACCAAGAGAGTGCCTTGTGTGGATTGCGGCGGGAACAGAAGGGCATTGCTTGGATCGACAGATGTGGTTCCGAGTTCGAGAGTAGAAATGACGGTGGCATCAGAGGTGGTATTGATGATGACGTGGTCAATAGATTCAGCATTCCCTTTGATTTTGGATGGCTGGGAGGAAGTGGCGTGCGACAGCGGCGGCTTGGCTGCCTGCCCGCTGGATTTGACACCAAGTGTTCCATTTGCTCGCGGCACCCAGTTTGGCATCGGTACTGACGTAGCTTGTGCCTCGGCCGCACGACGCTGCACAGCCAGCTGGTTGCGCAGAATACTTGAGCGCGTGTGGTTCACCGAAACTGGACAATGGGGTTTTGTAGTCTGGATTCAATAGGAGATACAGGTAGTGGATTTGATTCTTTCAGCCCTCCACTTCGGTTATTCACAACAAAATTAAACCTTTTTTTTTTGAAATCGGGAACCAAATAATTACAATTGACGCAACTTAAGATTGGAACACAAATTGGAGCTCTGGGTGAATTTTAATCAGTAACCGCTGCAAGTAACTAAATAAGTAATCCTCTGCTGGTTGACAGCATGATTTTATAAGTTCCGTTTTTAACTGGTCTAAAGTATCAAACTCATTCGCCCTGTTATAAGTATTACCTATGCTACCCTTGAGAACTTGACATTAAATATGTTGAGAGTAAAGGTCGGATATTATCAAACAATTCTGATCTTAAAGAAATCATGAAGTATAATCC